GGGCCGGCCTCCTTCTCCCTGCTCACCTGCACGATGGGGGGCGGGCGATGATCCCGCAGGTGGGGGCTGCGAATTCAGGCCGGACTCGAAACCGTGCTGCGCCTTCAGCTCAGCCTTGATCCGCCTTTGTCCCTCCTCTTCCTCTTCCTCTTCCTCTTCCTCTTGCTCTTCCTCTTCCTCCCGCTCCTCCTCTTCCATCCCCCCTTCCGCTCCTCTGTGTTATCCCCACCTCCTCCTCCTCTTCCATCCCGCCCCTTCCATTCCTTTTCCTCCTCCTCCTCCCTAACCCCACCTCCTTCTCCTCCTTCCATCGCTGCTCTCTCTGCCCTCATCCCTCTTCTTCCATCCCTCCTGCCCCTCCTCCTCCCATAACCCACTGGAACCCTAAGGGGAAAGGGGGCAGGGAAAGGGCGGAACCGTGCGGGGAAAGGGGGCAGGGAAAGGGCGGAACCGTGAGGTGAAAGGGGACAGAGAAAGGGCGGAACCGTGAGGGGGAAAGGGGGCAGGGAAAGGGCGGAACCGTGAGGGGAAACGGGGGCAGGGAAAGGGCGGAACCGTGAGGGGGAACGGGGCAGGGAAAGGGCGGGAATCGTGAGGGGAAAGGGGCGGGCTCACGCCAAGGGCGCCAACTGTGAGGGGACACTCTGGGAGGCGGCACTCTGCAAAGAGAACTGCAACGGACTGAACATGAACGGGAGAGAAAACAGAGAGAAAGCAGTAAGTCTGGGAGTTTTATTTGCTATAAATACATCCCACACACCCAGTCCCTAGCACTTGAAATTGAGATCCCAGCACTCGAAATTGAGATCACACATCTCCCAATCTCTTCCCAACTCGATCTAAGCCATGTCAGTAGCTGTGGAATCAAGTGAATTTGTAAAGAGGTAGAGTTTGTTTGAGGTGGGAAAAAACCGTTTTGATGTGGGCCTGAATCTTTTCCGGGTAAGATTGAGCTGTTTTCACTGGGATTTGAGTGGTTTTGAGGTGACAGATCCATCCCTCTTGGCTTTTGGACTGCAGAGAGGGAGAAGAGAAAATAAATAAGGCCAAA